TAGCCTGATAAAGCAAATCGGCTATTGTAATGAGGCTAGAGCAACTCTGGTCAGAAGAGTAAAACAGAAGTACATCTGTATTCCAGGACTCAAATGAAGCAACATGTAGGTGGTTCACAACATTCATCATCTAAAATGATGGATATTTCTGCTTTAGTATTGAACACAAAAGGAATAAAAAAAAAACAAAACAAAAAAAAAACAGATGCCACAAACCAACCTCTAAGGTTACACTGTGTGCACCCCCAGCAAGCCATGGATGTCACCTGCTATTTGTGCCTTACGTGTAAACCGTTAGCGTTAGCCTGTGAAGTCTGCCTCCTTTTCAGAGGGCTTTAATGTCCCTTCTCCTGCATTCCTGACTCCTGCATCACTGAAATATTCCGGGAGGGGTCACCAGCTTTCAGCAGCGCCCCAGTATCAGCGCCGAGCAAGCACCATGTTGAGCCAGTGCCACAGGTTGCTCCTCCCGCTACCTTGAGGAAACATGTCCCMATGAAAGTGAAACTGAAAATAGACCCGGGGGCCACGGCAGCAGTAGTCTGGGTCCAGCAGCCAGAGCTTGTGGCCCAAGTTGCCTGGGGCCGAGTAGCCCAACTGCAACCCCGGGCAGGATGGAGCGGGGTTTGTTGGGAGGAGAGCTGTGCACAAGCCGGGGATACAGATCCCACGGGAAACCACAGCACGCGTGGAGGCAGAGCCGGCCCTGCAGCCATGTTGCCGAGGGGATGCGCAGCCCGCACATCCGGCCGGCCCTGCGCCGAGGGCTCTGCAGAGGATGGCAGAGGTTGCTCCAGCCGAGGGGTTTCCCTGGCACAGGAACAGCACTGAGCGCAGGAGTATTGCGAGGACTTCCTCCCACCTTCTCCCCCCCCAAAAAAAAATTTATGTTTTTCAGGGCATTTATGTGGAGCAGCAAGTAAGGAAGCTTCCATTATACTGGTGCTATGATTATTTACAAGTCAAGTGTGTTTCCAGCTCAAGTGAGTTTGCGTTCCGAAAATTCAGCTAAATTTGGTAGGTAATAGAGAAACTGTGAGATAGGGCGACTTGGTAGTTTAAAGCAGCCAAACAACTAGATAGAAAACACTTAGAAGTTTTGTATTGTTTTAACACATCTACTTGATCCTCACAAATGCTAAAGACATCTCATTTGTAATTTATATTCAGCATGGAGTTTTTTACAGGGAAAATTAAGATTTACGCTCTTCGCTAAACTTTGAATTATGGAGAAAAGACGAGTTGGATGTGAGGTGGGAAARGCACAGTGTTAACGATAAAAATATGTTCCGGTGTGGTTTTTCRAAAGATTTCAGCAAAGCAGTGGCTAACTGGGCAGCTTGGGTCTTTTGTGGCTGAGGCACTACACACATCGCGTCACTGGTAGCAAACAGCCCGCTCAAGATCGTAACCCCGCCAGCAAGAGTGTTACAGGGTATGCGTGCGGGTAACTCTAGTAACTCCCTTTACGGTGCCTTCACCTCTGCAGTGCCTTTCAATGTGTGATCGAAACACTAGGAAGGAGATTTTAAGAGGGATACTCAGAATTCGGTAGTAGCTATTTAGGGCTGGCCTGCTTAGCATGGGAATTTGGCATGGCTGTCCACATAGCTTCTGTTAGAGAGGATTACGGCTGTCAGCGTGAGAAAGAGGGAGTGAAAAGTCCTATGGGGTCTGCGTGAGCTTGGCTAGGGCCCGTTATCATACACACGTTTCTGTTACACAGAATATCCTGTTATGCCATATYCATATGGAAAATAAATAGTGTTTGTAGAATAGCGTTTTCATACCACTTTCCCTCTGTGGGTCTGAAATAGATGACAGTGTCATTGCAACTTAAGCCAAGATATGAGTACAGGGCACGGCTGCATGTGCGCGTAATACAGAGAGTCAGAAGGGTGGTGGGGTTTTCTGTGCATAYAAGAAGGTAAATAATGCAGTCTAAATAAGAAGGTAAATAATGTGAGAGTATTTTGCGGCCTATAGTCTAGGTTTTGCTAACAAAGGAAGGATGTACATAGGAGCGGTGGGTCATATTGTGGGATGCCTGCACAGCATTTCAGGAAGGTACTGGAGTACACGTTGTTGAGGGGCGTAAGAATGACAGGGCTGAGGTGGAGGGTATCTCAGCACGTAGGTGCTTGTGGCGGGGAGCAGGGCAGCCTGCTGGCTCCGCGCCTGCATAGCGACGTTTGCTGACGTTGTGGGAAGTCAAGGCACGCTGCAGGAGTAATGGATAGTGTTTGGGGGCAGCTACGCATACTGTGCAGACACGTTTCTGCTGTGATTTGCAGGACAAAGCATAAAGCACGTTAGGGATGGCCCACAGCAGGAAGGCCTCCGGCAGCATTTTGGGAATCTGCGTTGTGCAGCAGAAGGCCRGAAAGAGTGCGATGGCAACTCACGACATTTCATCCAGAGGGATGGGTGTAACTCTGGACACCTCTGCTTGTTGGTTAGGTGGACAGTACAGTGCGCCTGCTTTATCGAGATTAATAGTGATATAAAGATGCTAAATTGGGGATAGGTAATATTATGGGATGTGATTTTGTATAATGAGAAATTAATGATACTGCTGCAGGTATGTAATTGGGTTGCATTTAGTTTTATGGACCGTTCCTGTCAGTATCATGTGAGGGTTTGCTGGTGGGGAGCAATCGCGGGGAGCGGAGCGCGGTGCTGCGAAATGGCTACGAGTAGAGCGGGAGGAGGGAAGAGAACGCACGGGAGCTTTTCCTTGGGAACACTTCTAYGGGTAGTGGCATTTACAGCAGGCTGGTGCACTGTGTTGGAAGCCCGTACATATGTACGGGCAGGAGGTGACAGGAGTCACCGTGCGCTCGGCGCGCGTTCTGCTGCCCGAGGCTGCTGCGGGCCGCGCTGCGGGCGGGCGCGCAGCCGGCTGCAGGCCCTGTTCCGGCACGGGGAGAAGGCACAAAGGCGGTGCGGGCGCCGCGCCCCGCGCTCCCACCATCCGCCCGAGGCTACCGCAGCAGGGGATGGCCGGGGCGCCCAGGAGCGGGCACCGCGGGCACCCCTGCCTGCTGGAGAGCGGCCGGCGCGGGGCGAGGAGGAGGGAGGAGCAGGGCGCAGGTGCGGGCGCTCGGGGGGCAGCTCCGAGGGGCAGCTCCGGGGAGCAGCTCCAGGGGGCAGCTCCGCAAGAGCGAGCCACGGGCGGCGGCTGGGCCAGGGTGCGGGGCTCCCAGCGGGCCGGCGCCGCGGGCGAGGCCGGTGCCCGCGCGGGGCCCGGGAGGGGC